GTCTAGTCACAGTTGATCGTCATGAGTCAAATAGAGTCACAGTTTATTATCATGAGTCTGGTCAAGTCACAGCTGATCTTCATGAACCAAGTCACGGCACAGCTGATCGTCATGAGGCAAGTCACGTCACCGCTGATCGTCCAGAGTCACGTCACGTCACAGCTGATCGTCCAGAGTCACATCACTTCACAGCTGATCGTCCAGAGTCACGTGATGTCACAGCTGATCATCCAGAGTCACGTCACGTCACAGCTGATCGTCCAAAGTCAAGTCACGTCACAGCTGATTGTCGAGAGTCACATCACATCACGTCACAGCTGATCGTCAAGAGTCACGTCACGTCACAGCTGATCGTCAGGAGTCTTGTCATGTCCTGTCTGTTGCACCCAGATCTTCAAGGTCAGTCTTTCGGTATCCCAGTCTGGTATCTACTGTGAGGGATACACCACTGGTGTCTGCACGCACAGCTGGTATCCCCAAACCTACTCACTCTAACTCTTCTGTTCCTGAACTAATTCCTCTGTCTGAAGTGTTTCCCCTGATGGGGATCGCTTTTTGGTGTGTTTGGGCTGCATACACCACCACAGAACTCCCAGAGGCGGCGGCGCCCACTATTAGGTCTCCAGAGGTGGAGGCTGAAGCTGCAGAATCTCCTGAGGTAGTGGTGCTCGCTGCTGTGTTCCCCGAAGCAATGGTGCCCGCTGCAGTTTCTCCAGAGGTGGTGCTGCATGCTGCAGAACCTCCCGAAGCGGCGGTGCTCACTTCAGCTCCTTGCATGGTGGTGGTGCCCAGAAACGCACTTTCAACCTGTCAGGTCAAGGTCGAAGGAACCTTTGCCGAACGCACCCTGTATCCTGAGGGCACTACTGTAGAACCTCCAGAGGTGGCGGCACCCACTGCAGAACCTCCAGAGGTGTCAGTAGTACCCACCTATGAACTTCCTGTTTGTCCTGTCACGGCTATGGAGGCCGTTTGTGAACTCTCTGCCTGTCCTGTCACGGCTAAGGAGGCCGTCTGTGAATCCTCATCCTACCCTGTCACGGCTATGGAGGCCGTTTGTGAAAGAATTGTCTGTCCCATCCATGAGACCATATATGCTCTGTCAGTCTCTTGTGTCTCAGTTTTCCCCAGGTCCCAGTCCCTACCAGGGAGGACTCCTGTTCCCGAGTTACGCCCACGGAGGGCTCCTGTTCCCGAGTTAGGCCCACGGAGGGCTCCTGTTCCCGAGTATAGCCCACGGCGGGCTCCTGTTCCCGAGTTAAGCCCACGGAGGGCTCCTGTTCCCGAGTTAAGCCCACGGAGGGCTCCTGTTCCCGAGTATAGCCCATGGCATCCTCCTGTTTCCCTGTCTCCAGTGTCGGCTCCAGTCCCAAGACTCACTCCAGTGCCAGTTCCTCGAAAGCGCTTTGCTGTGCCTGCTCCTCCAGAGCACCCTCCAGTGCCAGCACCACATAAGCGCTATCTTGATCCCCAGTACCGCCCTGGAAGGGCTCTAGATCCTCCGTTCCGCCCAGGAGGGGGTCATGTCCCCGAGTTAGGCCCAGGGTGGGCTCCTGCTGGGGGGGCTCTGTCACGAATCCGGTCCATGAACTTCCGTCTGTTTGCCATCAGAGGTCACCCTTCTCCCATTACATTGACTCTCACACCACACAGACTGTTACACATCACCCTGGACTGCATTTCCCATCAACCATTGCACTGATCACACACACACACACACACACACAGCTGAATCCAATCAGACATGCTACATAAGCCATGGACTTCCTCTCTCTCACTGCCGAGTATTGTCTAGCGTTTTTCACTCTCCAAGTGTTAACTACTTTACCAAACCATTCCATGTTTATGTCCTGTTTGGTCTCTTGTATTGTTCTGCGTTTTCCACTCTCCTAGTGTTAGCTGCTATATGGAGCCTGTTTATTGTCTTAGTTTTGTCTTTTTCTTAGTTCCTAGTTTAGTTTAGTCTAGTCTTGCCTTGCCTGTTTTCCCGTGTATATATTGCTGCCTTTGTTTTTGGATTGCCCTGTCGTTTTGCCGTTTGGACTCTGTTTGCCCATGCCTGGACCTTTTCCTGTGTTCCTGGATTTATCCCTCTAATCTCGCCCTTTTGATTCTGTTCGCCGATCGTTGACCTTCGCTAGCCCTAGGATTATTCTTGTGTCTTGCCCGCCATATACCTGTTTGCCATTGTTCGACCCTGCCTGTGTTTCTGACCTCTCTGCTTTAAATAAAGCTTGCACATGGATCCGCACGTCTCACGTCTCGTCAGCCCCGTTACAGACAGCAAGGTAGCTACCACAGTCAAGGCCTAATTTTTGGATATTTAAAAAAAAATGTAAATAAATTAAGAGAATGATGTGATTTATAAGTTTGATAAGCTTAAATAAATGTTGAATACATGTTTAAAATGTGTGATAAATGATTTGCTTTGCTATAGTGCTTTAGTTGCTTTAATGTTTGTTACTATGCTGTCACATTAATTAGATGTTTTTATTTATTACCATATTCTTTAAATTAGAGATAAGCCTCTTTTCAGCTTGAAATGTTTATGTATTTCTGTGCTTGTTTATATTATTTATCAGGACACACATTTGTATAATGACACAAATATTACTCTGATATAACAATGTAAATATGGTTTATGATGACATTTCTTGAGTATTCATAATTAAGATTGTTTACAAACATAGAAAAATATAAAAATGCAGAATTTTCTTTTTGACGGATAGGTGTACAGTTTTACAGTAAAAAAAATCATTACACCTACGGTGTGTCCCCACAAACCAGATGTGTGTGTGTGTGTGTGTGGTTCATCTACCCCTTGTTGTGTAGTAATACATCAATGATTGACATGAGCGAAATTTGTCCCCTTGAGCATAACAGCTTTTTAAATGATAAATTATGCTAAATGTTGTTTTTGAAAATATCAAAATGCAGAAAGTTTACTGTGATGGATAGGTTTAGGGGTTGATACAGCATTATAATCATTATGTCTATGGAAAGCCTCCATAAAACATGGAGCATAGAACTTTTTCTTACATGACAAACTCTTTTTCCTGCTCCTGGAAAAATGTAAGATGTTTTTATATTTTTAGTGACACCTAAAAATAGTGTAAAGTATTTGCTTTGTTTTATTTTAAGTGTGATTACAATTTATTTATATTCATTTCATTTAAAAGAAGAGAATAAGATCCTTTTACTCAGACAATTGTGTGTGTGCATGTGTGTGAGAGAGAGAGAGAGCATAGTTGGGGTCCATAATATGCTTTGGTCTCTTAAAATGGTTTATTCTTTTACTTATTTTGATATTGCTTGTTCATCATTAGAATCTTCTTTTTCTCACATCCCGTAGAGAGAGAGGGGAGAGACCATAACACACCCTGTGATGGAATGTGGCCGGATGCCCGCATGTGGTCAACAGATACCACCAGATGTGAGAGTTAAATATGCACCTCAGGACATCGTTTATGACCTGTCACTGTTCGAAATTGATCAGTCTTTATATTGATCCACAGAGGATATGCAAGATCACTGGGTCAATGCCGGAAGTTTAATTATGCTAACAACATATGACATACTGACATCTGGAGATTATTAATAGGTCAAAGGTGAACGGGACGCAGGGGTCCTGAAGTGAGAGGTCAGAGGTCGTCTTCAATTAAAGATGTTGTAATTTGGTGGTCCCCTATTTACTACACACGTCTTCAACACACTTCTTGTTGAAACACGTTATGGTGTCCGAGTAGGCTTCAATGTCATCATCAGAAGCAGCCCGGAACATCTCCCAGTCAACTCGTTCAAAACAATCCTGTCGTAAATTCATGTTGCATGATAAAATTTTAGTAAAATATACACTAAACGACCTGCTTAAATCCTGCAGAATACGAGTCTTATTAACACCAAGAAGAAGCTTGTCCAGGTTCAAGGTGAGGTGGATGATGCAGTCCAGGAGGCCAGAAATGCAGAGGAGAAGGCCAAGAAGGCCATCACTGATGTGGGTGTTTGCATTCTGTTACTCTGTGCTAACTGAAACAGTTATTTGACTTTGTTTAGCTGCATGTGGTAGCAAAGAGAGCATTCATGGAAGCTAATTCTATCTATATTGGTTAGCTCATTTTCATTGGCTTATATTTCAGGCTGCCATGATGGCTGAGGAGCTGAAGAAGGAGCAGGACACCAGTGCTCACCTGGAGAGGATGAAGAAGAACATGGAGGTGACTGTCAAAGACCTGCAGCACCGTCTGGATGAGGCTGAGAGTCTGGCCATGAAGGGTGGAAAGAAACAGCTCCAGAAACTGGAGTCCAGGGTAAATTACAGACTAAATACAGACTTAGATGAGCTAACCATGGCAAAGATATGGCAGGTGTCAATAACTCTCTACTGAAGGTGTATGAGTTGGAGAGCATGTTTTTTTCCCCGGTGTTTGGATGGCTGTGGATTAGAGCTTGCAGAAGAGGTGTGTCTTTAAACGCATCACATGACCCCTCCCCCTCTCACACTTATCTCAATAACAGCCTGAATTATTTGAGGCATCAAGTCAGAAAAGTTTGGCAACAACACTTAAAGATCCCCAATGCAACTGCTGCAAAGGTATTGGCTGCACATTGTGCCACTGAACCATATCCCTACTAGCAGAAATCCACTGTCCAGTTTTGGTGAGTCAGTGTCCTGTAGTATCAGTCTCCTGCTCTGAGCTGATGGGACTGAACCTGCTGTGCTCTCCTGCTGGTGTAGCCCACACCCATCAAGGTTCACTGACAAATAAAATCATTTACTGCCACTTTCTACTCATCCCTTCATCTTGGATCAGTCATTAACAAGACATTTTCAACCACAGAAACAGAACGAATGCTGACTGGATGTTTTGACAATATTCTCTGAAATCCCTCCAGACTATTGTCTGCTCTGCAACTTTCATAGCCTACCAAAACATGTTATAGTTGCTTGTATTCTGACTTGACTATTTTACTTTCATGAAGACAGTCTTTCACACAACTGTACTCTAGTAAAAAAGTAAAAATACTTCCCTACATCCTGGATACAATGCAAAAACTACATTCAAGGCAAGTAAATGATTTTGTGGTTCGACGCTTCATATTTGACTTCATGCACTTAGGACAGATGTGGTGTGATTACAACTTAGGACAGATGTGGTGTGATTACGAACAGTGCCATATTCATATAGAAATGCATCTGGAAATGTAACTCACCATACTCAGAACCATTTGGCCCAAAGATGAATAAGTACTACACCACATGTTGACTGTTGTCTGTAAATTTATATTTAAATCAAGCAAAATTCTCAGGCTTGTGACTCTAACACAAAGTCAGTTAATAGCAATCTACAACAATAGTATACTGCAGCAGCTAATAAGTGTAAGCATATAAACTTAAATCTAGAGAGTCTAGAGAAAGTCAAAAACATTGTTTAATACTTTTTATTTATTAATTTATTTCAAAGTACAGTAAATAGAAAAAGCAGTGCACTTACTGAGAAATATTACAGTAATGTCATGATAGGTCAGATAAGTCTTCACCGTGGCCTGGATGAGTAACCTAAACTTCATATTTCAAATATGAGCACTCACTGGGCTATATTTATGATTTGTCCATATATGAACATGCTGTTTATAACTTTGAGGGTCATTATATGAGCATGAAATAAGATTCGTATGTGCAGTGATCACT